ATCAACCTGGATTTATAAAGTTTACTAAGTGGAACTTGTCCTATATCATGTTCAATAAATATACTAAATGATTATGATCTAACCTGTGTTCACTTAAAAGTGCTTTCTATATGCTTAACGCTCCTTTATCTTCCCTTTTACTATCCCAAATTCAAACTGTGAAGTAGGTGTTATGATCCCATCTTCTTAGAAAAATACATCACTTAAGTAAAATCAAAGATCCACATTTTCTTACCACTAGACAAAAAAAAATTTACATTTTGCTGAGTGTGGTGTTCAAAATTTTGCTAATTTAAATTAGAAGGTCAGAAGCAATCTCTGAGTCCACGAATTTGACCTGAAATTCTACTCAATTCCATACCTTTACTGTTTTCCTCATTCAGGTGTTTAAATTACTTAAGATAATTTTTAGTAAAAAGTTACATAAAAAATCTAGGGAAATATGCTGAATAATAAAAGCTAGGCTAATTCTTAAAAACCTTCCTTTCCCTCGATATATACATATACACAAAATGCACAAAAACATTTAAAATATTGCTCTGTCGCTCACTTTCTATGTGATCGTGAATCATTTAAGCTCTAAGTCTCCATTTTCACCTCTAGAAATGGGGATAAACAGAATAACTATAACAACCACATGAGATTGCTGTGAGCATTAAGATAGTACATAAAGCACTTTAGCCAACCACTGAAGCTAAACCACTCTATCCAACCACTATTTTAAAACAGAAGTTTTAAATACCATATGTTAACTCTTATACTTAAATCAAAACCTCAGGGCCACCTCTCCCTGTTGAAAGATTATATTTTCTATGGCAACCATCTCCATTAACCCATTCGTACAACCCTATTTATGGCAAAAGTTTCACAAGCACCCTGAAAACAAGTATATAACCGTCTAGGAAGCTTTCTTCAACTATCCCTCCTCCTCCCTGGGTTAGGTACCCTGCTCAGACACTAAGTTATACTTACAGCTCTGCTTTTTACATTTCCTTTTATTACCTGAGAGTACCTTGTGGGCAAGGCTTATGTCCTATTCATTTCTATGCCCAGACTGCAGCCCGATAGTTCTTAACACTGACTCACATTTGAATCAAATAGTACACTTATAAAAATATTAATGGGCCCAGGAACGGTGGCTCACACCTGAAATCCCAGCACTTTGGGAGGCCGAGCTAAACGGATCATCTGCGGTAAAGAGTTTGAGACCAGCCTCACAGACATAGCGAAACCCTGTCTCTACCAAAAATACAAAAATTAGCCAGGTGTGGTGGCAAGCGCCTGTAATCCCAGCTACTTGGGAGGCCGAGGCAGGAGAATCATCTTCCACCCAGGAGGCAGAAGTTGCAGTGAGATGAGATCGCTCACGCCACTGTACTCCAACCTGGGTGACAGAACAAGACTCCATCTCAAAAATAATAATGATAATAATTAATGCCTGGGATCCACTGTAGATCCATTCAATTATTAGAGGGTGGGGTGAAGGGACAAAGAGGGTAAGAAATTAGCATGAGCAAACATTTTTTTTAAAAGATCCCAACATGATATCAATGTGCTGCTCCAGTTAAGAACCACTGTATGCTGATACTTAATATACTTACAGTTATGTATACATGCACATATGTGAGAATATATGTAAAAATATACAGGCATCGAAAAGTTTAAGACTCAGGTCAAGATTCTCAACATCAATAGCTTCTCCCAGCCCAATCATCTCCTCCCTTTAAACACACACTATTTCCAATAAATAGTTACGTGCTTCATTAAGATGGCTTTTGGCCAGGTGCGGTGGCTCACACCTGTAATCCCAGCACTTTGGGAGGCCGAGGCAGGAGGATCACAAGGTCAAGAGATCAAGACCATCCTGGCCAACACGGTGAAACCCCATTTCTACTAAAATACAAAAATTAGCTGGGCATGATGGCGTGGGCCTAAAGTCCCAGGTACTAGGGAGGCTAAGGCAGGAGAACTGCTTGAACCCAGGAGGCGGAGGTTGCAGTGAGCCGAGATCGCGCCACTGCACTCCAGCCTGGCGCCTGATGACAGAGCAAGACTCTGTCTCAAAAAAAAAAAAAAAAGATGGCTTTTAAACTGTTAACTCAGTACTTAAATTTTTTCATGTAATCATGCCTTATCCTTCTTCCTAGTTTACAGCCTTGCTCCCTGAAAATATACACTGCCATATTCTTGTTTTCTCCAGTGCTTAAGGACAGTGTCTTTAACAGGTATGTAACAAACATTTGACTGATCTGATAAACACACACAAAATTACTGGCAAGAAGTATGCCACGTCCAAATTATGCAATTCAGGTGAATTACTATCAAAAAAATTGAAAATGTAAAAATATAGAAAAAAAGGATAAAAAAAAAAACTCTTAGTAAATTTTATCTCATTAAAGAAGCTCTGGATATTTCAACTTTCCATTCATCACACACAGTAACCACCCAGTCTCCTATCTCCCAAATCGACTAGTTTCAGTTTTTGACCTGGTTCCTCACCTAAAACTATCTTCTCGTCGATTCTAGTATCTTTAGCTGCTTTCAGGTACCTTTATAACAGTATTATATAATCTATAACTAGTAAAATGAGGTAATCAAAGTCACAATAAACGTATCACACAGATGTTTCGTAAGTACTTCCTTGAAGGAGCTTCATGTTTATCAACCATTAAAACAAGATCTCTACATACGAACTACATGTTAATCTACTAATATAAAATGGCTAGGAATCATGTCTGTAAATAAGAGTTTTACTCAACATTAGATAAAATATAAGACTACTTCTGAATATAGATTGGTCGTTTGCATCCTTTTACATATTTTCATACCTGAAAACATTGCAAAATATATATGACTTTTTAAAACAGGAGTGCTAAACTAAATATTACACAAGAAACTCCACAGCAACTGGTATTCTCACTGTTGAAACTACTAGAAGAAATGGCACACAATTCTAAAAAAGCAACAATATAAAGACATGAAAATGGCTCAGCTTAAAAGTTTTGCATCATGTATTTTACCACTTTAAAATAATCTGAAATACTTAAGTTGTTTTGAAAAAAATGACAATATATGGAGGAGGCATTCAAGAAATATGTCTGTTAATTAGATACTGTGGTAAAAAATTATTATGTTTTGTTGGGTCCTACAGCTTGAAACGGATAGAGCCATAGTTACCACTAAAAGAAAGCAGTCCTCAATTCCCTATTCAATAAAAAGGTTCAAATTCCACAGACCAAAAAAAAAAAAAAAAAAAAAGGTACCCTTGGTTTGTTTGTTTTTAAGGAAGATTAAATTTAGGAGTTGCCAACACCCAAACGAAAACATTCCAGAGTATTATACTCCATTGTAGTGGGGAGTCATCTACATTCTCAGCACTATGTTCTCTTACTCAAAAGCAGGGGTATTAACAAAAGATGTTTCTTAGGATCTCACAAGATACACCCTACTTCCTTCCCTCAGTAAACATTGAAAAATACTTGAAACATTGAAAAAACTACTTGAAAAATAATATTAGCACATGCAGCCAGAAAAAAAGTGAAGTTTAACATCTGCTGAGTTATTTCCCAAAATAAGACCCCTGTCAGATGAACAATTAGGAAAAGACTGAAAAGGACAAAATCTTTTATTTGAACTATCAGCTACTTTTAAAAATAAAGTTGAGGAATGTAGCTTTCCCAAAGCTTTGTCTTCAATTTCCCCTTAATCTTCATATTTTTAACTTAAAAAAAAAATGGAAATTTGATTACCACCCTTAGAATTCCTTCTAAAGCAATTTAATGAATAACAGATCTTTTGTGCAAGGAGCAAACCACAGAGGACAGTTTTTCTGGCTGATAAAAATCTCAGAAACACTCATATAAAAATACACCCTACAAAGATACACTATGATTTTCTAGGTATGGAAATCATATTAATTCTAAAAATTTAGGTGTATTTTATATACACCCTAACTTATTGCAAATGCTTTTACTTAAACCACAACTAAAGTTAGTAAATTCTTAATAGTTATTTACCGGGTGGCAAAATTGAGTAAAATCAGAAAGCAAGGAGGAAAAAAAGTGAAAACTAAAGGGTCAATGAGAAAAAGATGCAACTATTTTAGGTGAAACAAGGTAGTTCAGCCACTTCCTCAAATCCGTGAGCTACTATTAAAGTAACCAAAACTTGTTTGAGATTGTTTTGTCTTGTTTCTGGTAGAAGGAGGTGTGATTATACACTTAGTAAAAATGTTTTACCCGTCAGTCTAACGGGAAGATGCTGCTACCTGTAGCAACATTTTGAAAATGCTCAAAAATGCAAACAACCCAAAACAAACAAAAAACCCTACCACATATGTATTTCAGATACAGTACTTAAAAAGAAGATGAGATCGTCTTAGCAAACAGAACTGTAGGTTACTAAAGGATGCCTATTGTCCTAAATATCCCTCAGAAAAAAAACCTATGTATGTGTTTAGGTGCACAACTTATAAACAGTTGATACATGAAAGAGTGCATATATTCATTTAGATATATTCATCTTAAGTTCACTGGAAGATAAAGCTGTCTTGGATAATTGCTAAGGCCACATTTTCTTTACAGGTACTATTAAACGTCGGTAGGAAAGAGATAAACTGGCAACTTCACATGGGCACGTGGGACCCTAGAAAATGTTGTCACCACCATTAATCAATTTTTCTAACTGATCAAGCATAAACAGCCAGGTCCAGGTGGGCAAGTCCTGGAGCCACAAGTTGTCTTTCCACCACGGTAAAGAAAGATACTGGATCTGAGACCTGGCCAGGAAGCCTGAAGAGGGCACATGTCCTGCTCTAAGTTTGAGGAACTTCCCAGGAAGCATTTGTGGAGAATAAAACTCCATCACCCCCGCCTGCCTAACTCGGTGAAGGGACAAGTACGAACCAGAGGAGGAAAACTCCAGGCCCCGGGGACTCCCAGGAGGAAGACAGCGGAGGCATCTGCCCGCCCCGGCCCGGCTGCGGCCCCCGCCCGACTCACCTCTGCGGCGGGGATGTTGACCACGCCGGTGGAGCGCCGCTTCTCCCGCAGTTTCCTCTTCTCGATCTGCCCTTTGCCTTTCCTGGCACTAGGGCCCGAGCTCTTGCCCTTCTCTGGGGCGCCGTCCCGCTCCTCCTCGTCACGCCGGGGCGGCAATGCAGCAGAGGAAGAGGCGGCTGGGGGCTCGTCCTCCGACCGCCGCGGGCCGGGAGCCGCCCGGGTCAGCATGGCGGAGCCGACCGCGCAGTTCACGCCCCCGGGCCCGGGGGCGGCAGGTGCGGCCGGCGCGCCGCCAGGGAGGTTGTTGTTGAGCTCGTTGGCAGCGGCGGCCGCCGAGGTGGCCAGCGCCCCCGCGGGGGGCTTCCCGGCGGCGTCGCTGCTGCCCCCTCCCGGGGCGGCGGGGCCCGGGGGGTTCTGCTTGGCGCGCATCTTCTCGCGTTTCGCCTTCCACTCCTCCAGGAAGTCTGTGGTGCTGCTGCCGAGGCCGCTGCTGGTCCGGTAGCCACCGGTCGCCATATTCCCAGCGGGGCTGGCCGGGTTCTCACCTCAGGCCGCCCACCAGGGCTCCCGCCGCTGCCGCCTCTTCCTTCCTCCGTCCGCGAGGATGCCAGGGAACGACCTCCAGGAGCTTGGCGGCCGCCGCTCCCCCAGCAGCCAGCTGGTCTGAGGGGAAAGACAAAAGGGGGCGGGTAGGGGAAGCGTAAGGTCCCCGCCCGACCCGAGGGTCTGCCCCCAGGCTGCGCCCTTCGGAGCCCTCGAGCGTGCCAACTAGTCCCTACCGGCGAGAAGCCGCCGGGTCCCCACCCTGCAAAGTTTCTCCCACGCACCTACAATGAGGGCCCCGACGATCGCCGCCCCTCGAAGGGAGGAGAGAGGACTGACCCCACCCCCAAGTTGGCCAGCCCGCCCCGTCCCCACCGGGGTCCGTGCTGGAGGCGGTGGAGGTACTAGGGCCAGACCCGCCACCTGTCGGCCCGTCGTATCGCCTGCTCCGCGCTCTGGCCACTGCGGGTCCGAGGTCCCCGCCAGCGACACCCCACACCCAGGGCGAGGCGCGGAGCTCCTAGCCGGCTCGCGGAGGAGGCGGGGACCCCGCTGTCCCACCGAGCGGGGAAGGGGACGGGTGTGAGCAAGCGGCCGGGCAGCCCCTTACCTCGGAGGAGCTTGTAGGGGAAGAGGCGTGGGGCTGGGATCTGGCGCCCAGGTGAGCCGAAGCTGGCGCACTCGTCCGCCGCGCCCAAAGAACCGCAGCAAACTCGCGCTGCGGAGCTCCAAGCAGTCCCAGGACAAGAGGGAGGGAAACGAGAGAGGTAGGGAGGGAGCGAGGGGCGGGAAGGGAGCCGAGCGGCGCCGAAGCACGAACGGAAAGGGCCGAGGCGGCGCACGAGGGGCGCGGCGCGCGGTGGGTAGGGTCGTGGCCGCTGACGCCCCGCCCCCGGCGCTCAGGTGCGCGGCGCCGCGTCCCGCCCGCCGCTGCCGCCTGCTTCGAGCCTGCCGTCCTCCGCTCCGCACCCGCCGCCGGCCACACTGCACCCGCCGCCGACCGCACCGCGCCCGCCGCGCTCCGCCCGCGGCTGGCGGGTTGGACCGCACATTCCTGGGCTAGCAGCCTCGCGGCGTCCGGCCTCCCGGCGCCTGCGACTCCGGGGCGGGAACAACACTCCACGCCCTTCTCCTCGCTTGTCTTCTCCGCCTCTCTCTTCTCCCACCACTCTTCCTTTTAAGTACAAGACCGTATTATTTTAGAGAAAGTCTCGAACGCTGCTGGCTAAGGGGAAAAGTGCGATAACTTGTGATGATTCAGGGAATGACTAGACAGGATGGGAAAATACCCACGTGTCCCTTTCCCTAGTCGCTGCTCCCTTTTCAGATGTACTTTGGGCAGCGTGCAGGAGAATAGAAAGAACGGAAACAAACCCACCACCCTCCTTCTAAGAAAACTGGTGTCCTGGTGAAAAGGGTTGGCTAAGAGGAAGGAGTTACTAATAGACTTGTGGGAGAAAAAAGTTCGACAGTTTATTGTATTGGCGATCCCAGTCTTGGAGTTTTCCTCTTAACCCTGTCTCTCCCATCTCCTCTTTACAGAGTGAATTTAGCAGCAAAGCTGCCTACCAAAGTACTAACGCTGCACTGATGCTAATTTGAGATGAGCTGGGCAATGATTGCCTCTATTTTTTTATTGTTAACATGCCAGAGGCTTATCCTCAGATGCAAGTCATCTAAAATTTCTGGATCAGAGGTGGTGGGTGGGCTGCCACTGACGCACCTGAGAAGTCTGACCTTTCTATATCCAAGTAATGTCAGGGCACATAATTGTGGGCGGCGACAAATGCCAGATCTCCATTTTGTAAAAAAAAAAAAAAAGTAGGAGAGCCCTAAGTCACATTCTTACCCAACATAAACCATTCTTCCTACTTAATATTCCTGTTTTGCCCAGGAGCACATGGTGAGTGAGCAATCAGTGTTTGCCTGCCACAGAACTGGGAACAGAAGAAAGTGATTCACATGCTGTGTATTTCTTAGGGAAAGACAATTCTGGTCTTTGGTCTGGAACATATGGAGAGAGGTGCGGAAAAAGCCTTAGAAAATTAAAGGCTTTTCTTGGGAATAGGACTAAAAGGGTAAGCAGCTGTTTACCTAGCTGGTACCAACCGCAGTGTGCCACCTGAAATTTATCAGTTACATAGTCATTATTTTGTTTTCTGAGTTTTACAGAAAGGAAGGAAGGGTGGGACATTAAATGTATTCACATTAATATGCTTTGTAACTTAACAAAGGACTTTCTCTTAGAAGGGCTGCAGGATATAGTGGAGAGAGGGTATAGTCAGCCTGGATACAAACCTATGTTAAGTAGATGAGAAGTCTTGGGCATGTTTAAATTATCTGGCACTCAGCTTTCTGTACTATAAAATCAGCAAAAATCACATTATTTTTCAGCTGTCTTAACAACTGACACTGCACATAAAGTGTGCTTGATTTGAGGAAGGCACTCAGTAAACCTAGTCACTTGTAGGGACTTACAGTCCTTGGTCTCTAAAAAGTATATGGGAGAAGAGCAAAGTAAAATAGGTGGGGTACTGAATATACAATATCAACCTAAAAAACAATAGACTTTGAATGAACTGGGATAACACACCACATAAATTTATCACTGCATGGGTTAGACCAGTTCTGTTGGTATCAATAGGTTCTGAGTCATGAATTTTGAATGCTACCGACTTGTGTGGCTTTGGGCAAGTTGCTTAACTTTTGTGCCTCTGTTTACTTATGTATAAAATGGGGATAATAATACTTCCTACATTGTGAGAGTGTTGTGAAAGTGCCTGCAGTCCTCAGATAAAAGGTAGTATGTGACTACCAGAGTAGTTATTATTAGTCTATAAAGTTCTTTAGGAACCGTGGATGAAAGAGATTATTGAGGTACAAAGCTCTGTGTTTTATTATTATTATCATTTATTATACCTTTTGTCTTTACCATTCTCAATATTCCCGAAGGTATATTTCACAGCCAGACTGCTTCCAACATTGCCCCAATGTATTTAGCTGAGTCAGTCCTAAATTGCAAGATGTTTGCATATCATCAGTCTTTATGTATAGCGTTCTGATGAAATAATCCTCAAAGACTTGGAGCTTGGTTTCTCAACCTCAGCACTATTGACATTTGGGGCTGGATAATTCTTTGTTGTCCTGTTTAGCAGCATCCTGGGCTTCTGCCTGTTAGATACCAATAAGAACCCCCGACCGGTATTGTGACATTGCCAAATGTTCCCTGGGATAAAATTCTTCCCCCATTGAACACCTCTGAATTAGCCTAAAATAACCAGTTTTTAGCTATGCACTTGCCCTTAATAATAAAAAGAAATATGATAATGCCAACAAAACATTCATTTTAATATGTCAGAGTGAAACCTATTCTGTATGTTAAAGTCTTAATGCTTTGAGGCATGGTATTATTGATATGTATGGATAGCTGGTATATTGGGGAGTAGCCATTTTGCCTTAAATGCAGATATTTCCAGAGCATATGTAATTCATCCTCTAACATCAAAATATTACATGTGCATAGTATAAAAAATTACATTCTTTAGTTCTACAAGGAATACAACAAAAAACAGCAATCCCCTCTCTACCTTACTCACTCTGAAAACCTTACCCAAAACTTTAAACTTTTTAAACTTTTTAGAGATCTTCATATTTTTATGTGTATATCTGCTATTGTATGTCTTGATTTTTCCATTTTTAGATATCTCATAGAAGAGGATTTAGCTCTGATATACTAATGACACAAATACTTTTCATACTCCTACACTCCAACTATATTTATATTATGATTTTTATTGAATAAACCTTCAATGTTTTTAGTATTATGACTACAAATACTGTTCACAGCTGAGTCATGTGGTGTACTATGATTGCATTTTTTACAACTGTTTTTCCTTGTTGCACAACTATACCTTTTGTTTTAACCATTTTTCTGCAGTTTAATCTTGCCTCTTTTTTATCATCTTTTTTCTTATATACTAGTCCCGAGTTTATACCCAAATTTCCTTCTTTCAATGAAGTTAATCACACTGAGTAAGCTATTAGTTCTGTTCTATCTTATTCTCTCTTTTTTCGGGGAGAGCAGGGAGAAACTTCTCTTCTGGAGCCCTCCATCCCCTGCTTTAATCTGATTGTTGATTTTTTTTTTCTTTTGGAGATGGAGTCTTACTCTGTCACCCTGGCTGGAGTGCAGTGACACGATCTTGGCTCACTGCAGCCTCCCCCTCCAGGGTTCAAATAATTCTCCTGCCTCAGCCTCCCAAGTAGCTGGGACTACAGGCGCACACTGCAACACCATCTAATTTTCTGTATTTTAGTAGAGACAGGGTTTCACTGTGTTGCCCAGGCTGGTTTCAAACTCCTGAGCTCAGGCAATCTGCCAGTTTCGGCCTCCCAAAGTGCTGAGATTACAGGCATGAGCCATTGCACCTGGCTTAATCTGGATTGATTTTAAGGCTTGTTGCTTTGTGGTCATCCTGGGATTATGCTTCTCTAACATCTTGCGAATCATTTTCTCTGCAGACTTCTTGTTTCCTTAATTCCATACTTTTCTCTTGTTTGTTTCTCCCTTTCATTTTAGTGAAGTATATCGGTATATTCTAAAGATAGTATAATTCATTCTTAGAGACCTCGCATATTGGAAAATAGGTTAAATTCATCTTCACACTTGATTAATAGTTTGGTGAAACATAGGACTCTAGGTTTAAAATTATTGTCCTTCATAATTTTTAAGGCATTGCTTTATTATATTCTAGTTTCCAGAGTTGCTGTTTAGAAGACCAATGAATGGCATTCTGATTGCATTGTATCTTTTGTCTCAAAATTTTTGGATTTTCTTACCCAGATCCTCTGAAATATCTTGAAGATATGCTCTGATTGGGTCTTTTATCATTATTATGTTAGGCATTCAGTGGACTCTTTTAATTAGGTATCTGCCTTCCAGTTGGGAAATTTTCTTATTCTCTTTCTTTGATAAGACATTCCTTTTACTTTCTCCATTCCCACCTTCTGGAACTCCTGTTAAGTAGATATTGGACTGCTAGAAGTTCTCTAACAAATTTTTTTATCTTTTCTCTTTTTTCATTTCTTTGGCATGTTATTCTACTTTCAGTGAAATTTCCTTCACTTTATATGACAGTTTTTCTATAGAATTTTCTGTTTCTGACACTGTTTATTTCTAATCTGTTTCTTATTCTCTAAATATTTTTTTCTCTAGCATCTTGTTCTTGACACATATTGAGCATTTTTTTCTCCCTAAGCAAATTGCCTACTTTTTAAAATTTGTTTTAATCTTCATCTTTCATGTTAGAGCACTTCATCAGTCTGCTGTTTATTCGTATTTAAGACTGAAGAACTGAAAAGCTCACTGCACTCACTCAAAGCTCTTCTGTGAAAGGGAAGAGCTTGTTGACTGATGGGCCTCATTTAGGGAGCCGGTGTTTGACCCCAGGGATTTTTCTGGAGGCGTGCGTCAAATGCAGCATCTGTGGAGCTTCGCTTTTGGCTCAATAATTTTCCTTGA